CGGGGCCTGCCTCAAGCACCGTTCTTGCACAAATGCCTAAGTGTCAACAATATGAATTTATATGGGTTATGGTATGTTTATTCTCCGGTTGGATTGAAGCCTTTCCTTGTCGCAAGACTGACTCACTGTCTGTTGCCAAATGTTTGTTAAATCATATTATGCCTGCCAAGGGAATTCCTGCTACTCTGTCCAGTGATCAGGGTACACATTTTACTGGACAACTTGTTCAACACCTGGACTGTATATTGCACATCAAACACCTGTTGCACTGTCCCTACCACCCACAGAGAGCAGGTGCAGTTGAAAGACGAAATGGTGCACTTAACAATAAGCTTGCTAAAATTTGTGACTCTACAGGATTAAGCTGGCCAGTAGCCCTTATGGACATGAGATCCACTCCATCCCAAAGGCATAAATTAAGTCCCTTTGAAATTGTTATGGGACGCCCTATGTGAGCTATGACGACCATTACTCCCGTTCCAGATTTGAACTTGACTCACAGTGCGCTCCTTCAGTATTGCAAGGGACTAATGCAAGCTGTAAGTCACTTCCATTCACAGGTTCGAGCCGCCTGGCCCACGGAACCCACCTCCGACGCTTGCCACAACCTCGAGCCAGGTGATTGGGTCTACGTATGGCGCCATCATCGAAAGCACGCCTTGGAGCCCCGTTGGAAGGGTCCTCATCAGGTACTGCTTACTACACGGACGGCTGTTAAACTATCTGGCATCGCAGCGTGGATACATGCTTCACGGTGCAAGAAGGCACCATCCCCAGAGAACCAATCGTCACCTCAGGACAACGCAGAGTCAATTTTGACTCCAAAAGACGACGTAGAGGAACAGTCTGCAACACCTTACAATCTACGCTCTCGTAAGCATTGCCAGAAGCAGACGACGAACAAAACAAAACAAAACAAAAACACAAAAAAAAGCAGTAGTGAGCCTAGCACCTACTGCCTGGTGAGCATAAAACCGTGACTGCGGTTCCCTCAGTTGAGGTTGTCAGAACCAGAAGAGCCTTGCCTCCAACATGCGCCTCTGCCTGTTCCTCGGCTGCTGGTATCTTACAGTCTGGGGAGACCACGATGACAATTCTTTTATCCAGCAGCAGGTGTGGATAGCTCAGACCCTTAATATTTCTAATTGCTGGGTCTGCAGCCACATCCCAGCCCACTCTCAAACTGGTGTTCCTGTCCTGGCTATCCCACTCAAGTCCCCAGACCTCACTGGAGGGCCTCGTCCGTTTAACAAAATATGGATCAGCAATGACACTTGGGAAGCGGTGGGAATAAATGCAACTAAATGGATAAGTGTGATGGAGGGAAAAGGTCATTGGTGTTGAGTGTGTAATGGGACAGGGCTGAATCAGGGGAAAAGCCGTTGCCTTCAGCATATTGTGGCCAATGGTGTATGGGATTATTCAAACAAAACTAAAAAGTGGCGGGCTGGGTATGGAGATATGAATTTTTTCTCAACCTGGGATCAAACAGAGAAATCAATCTCATGTTCCCCCTACAGTAACCTTAGTGAAAACAATACAATCTTTCAATGTCATGCAAATAACACCACTCCTCGTAAGGAGAATTACCCTGTACCCTTTGGGGGATACTACTCCTCCTTTGCAAACACCTATATGACAAATGGGTGCAACTGACCCTTTCTGGCCTTAATAGGCCATCACTGGGTGTGTGGGACCAGAGCTTATACCGCACTACCAGCTAATTGGTCAGGAATCTGTTATCCCACCCGACTCTTCCCACAATTCCGAGCGCTAGGAACCTTCCCTCGAGAACGCCTCCGCAATTTCAGGCGAAAAAGAAGGGACTTAACAGATGCCCAACGGCACGTAAATAACATAAGACCCTTAACCTGGGAAGAGGCCATTGGCAGTTCCTTCATACCATTAGGGGAAGTAATACACCATACAAAAAGGCTCCTAAGGTTACAAGCAGTAGTTGAAATAATGGCAAATGAAACCGGAGAAAGTTTAAGAACCCTGGCCAAAGAAACAGGGGCAATCCTACAGATGGCCCTCCAAAACCATCAGGCATTGGACATAGTGCTGGCGGCAAAAGGAGGGACTTGTGCTCTCATTGGAAAAGACTGCTGTGTGTATATACCAGACAACACCAATGAGGTAATAGATCGTGCTAGCCACTTAGAACAAATCGCATATCTTTCCCACGAAGAGCCAAGTTCTTTATGGAAGTGGCTAAGTAACCTTTTCAATTTCTCTTGCATAGGAAACTGGTTGTTTTAGGGAGCCCTAACTCTCCAGTTTGGAATCCTAATAATTTTTATATGTTTTCAGTTACTTTCCTGTTGTATCCAAAATTGTGTCAGGCATGCTACACAGATAGCTGCCCCAAACCAGAGTGCTAATTTGATGATTTTAAATATCACTGATGAACAAAGAGATAAAGAATGATTGATATGTGGAACCGAGTCATTGTTGGTCATTGCGTAGCTTGACCAAAAGGAGGGATTGTGAAAGTAGAATGAATTATATTGAAATTATAATTCATTAAAGAAATGCTACTTGAAGGGTTGGTTGAAATATAGTTGTCAGGAAGAGAAACATTAAGGAGTGTGAGACAAGGGGTCCTCAAACTAATTAACTTAGAGCTCCTACTGAGCTAGGAGATTGGTAAACATTAGTATGCAAATAAGATATTTGTCAGTTTCTCTTTCTTTTGCCTCTTATGTTAAATTGGCTTTGGCTTAGCTGTATAAATAAGTTACCTTGAACCTCAGAGAGGGGCTCACATCTGGGTGCATTAGCAAAGCGCTTTGCTAATAGAGTGGTCTGACAAACTATGTGAGTCCTGAATCTGACTTTGACAACACATTTAAAATCCCCATAACCAACCACTTGATGTTTTACTTCCCTTCATATTTTCAGTGCTGTCACTTGTTTGTTTGTGGTTTTGTTTGCTCTCTGTGTTGCTTTATTACTTATTTTTACTGTTCTGTGTGTGAAGTATTAAATTAAGAGTTGACATCCCATAGAAATTGTAGGTTTCAGAGTAGCAGCCGTGTTAGTCTGTATTCGCAGAGTACTCCTTTTCTTTTTTCATAGAAATTGTAGAAGCCTGAGGGAATGCCTTTTACTCTCCTTTCCAGTATCAGAAAATATTGTATTAATATTTGCAATGAGAACATGACTATTTCTACTTGATTCATAGATTTGTTTAGCATCTTATCAAGTGGAGTGCCCCAAGGGTCGGTCCTGGGGCCGGTTTTGTTCAATATCTTCATAAATGATCTGGAGGATGGTGTGGATTGCACTCTCAGCAAATTTGCGGATGATACTAAACTGGGAGGAGTGGTAGATACGCTGGAGGGGAGGGATAGGATACAGAAGGACCTAGACAAATTGGAGGATTGGGCCAAAAGAAATCTGATGAGGTTCAATAAGGATAAGTGCAGGGTCCTGCACTTAGGACGGAAGAACCCAATGCACAGCTACAGACTAGGGACCGAATGGCTAGGCAGCAGTTCTGCGGAAAAGGACCTAGGGGTGACAGTGGACGAGAAGCTGGATATGAGCCAGCAGTGTGCCCTTGTTGCCAAGAAGGCCAATGGCATTTTGGGATGTATAAGTAGGGGCATAGCGAGCAGATCGAGGGACGTGATCGTTCCCCTCTATTCGACATTGGTGAGGCCTCATCTGGAGTACTGTGTCCAGTTTTGGGCCCCACACTTCAAGAAGGATGTGGATAAATTGGAGAGAGTCCAGCGAAGGGCAACAAAAATGATTAGGGGTCTGGAACACATGAGTTATGAGGAGAGGCTGAGGGAGCTGGGATTGTTTAGCCTGCAGAAGAGAAGAATGAGGGGGGATTTGATAGCTGTTTTCAACTACCTGAAAGGGGGTTCCAAAGAGGATGGCTCTAGACTGTTCTCAATGGTATCAGATGACAGAACGAGGAGTAATGGTCTCAAGCTGCAGTGGGGGAGGTTTAGATTGGATATTAGGAAAAACTTTTTCACTATGAGGGTGGTGAAACACTGGAATGCGTTACCTAGGGAGGTGGTAGAATCTCCTTCCTTAGAGGTTTTTAAGGTCAGGCTTGACAAAGCCCTGGCTGGGATGATTTAACTGGGAATTGGTCCTGCTTTGAGCAGGGGGTTGGACTAGATGACCTTCTGGGGTCCCTTCCAACCCTTATATTCTATGATTCTATGATCTTCAAGCTGAGCTCAGTGTGCAGATAATATGCATGCAAGAGGGATAGTTTTGTGAACTGCAAAAGTCCATAGCATGCTACTGTTTTGGGAGATGCTTTGTTTTGTTGAGGGCAGCTTTCCCTGAAGATTTAGTGGTCTATGGTAGGAGGAGGTTATTAAACTGGGCCTCTGGTCCATATTTTTTATGCTTTCACTTAATGGCCAAGACTTTGTTTTAGTTATATAGCTGTTTTCAGTAGGCCACATTTTGGTGTGTTTACTAGCTTGAGTGGTTACATACATGTACTCCAAGGGCAGTGTTAATATTCTTTTTACTTGATTTCATATTAAATAAACATCTTAAGCAGCTTGTTAATTATCCCTTGTTTTAATATTCTTTCTTCCATACCTATGAACTGTTTAAAAATATATATTATATCTTGCTTTTTTGTTTGTCCTGGTGGCGCACATCCACACATTACCTCAATATTGGTACTGCACATAACAAAATTCATTCCGCACATGGATGTAAAATATTAGAGGGAACATTGATCTGGTTCCTGGGAGAGGTGGGCCTTAGTTCCTCAGCACAGAGCCTGGAAGAGGAATCCTCGTTCTCACTATTCCCTTCTAGCTTTTATAGCTGAATTTTATTTGGCTTATTCATTCATTTTTAACATTTAGTGGCTGCTGTCAGAAGCTTCACTCCCTGAGCTGCTGCCCCCCGCCTTCATGTCCCACCTGCTAAACTGACTTGCACAGAGTGGGAGAGGCAGCCAGACCAGACACTCTCCCTCATTCTCCAATGCCCCCATCTGCCAGACTGACCTGCACAGAGTGGGAAAGGCAGCCAGATGTCCTGCTACTGATGCCCACAGTGTTCAAGGCCTCACGAGCGAAGTCTTCTGCTGTCTTTATATAGCGGTTGGATATGATGTTGTTGGTCATGTTTGTGGAAACAAAGAGAGGCAGGACACTCTAGAGGGGGGAGACAGAGTGGAGAGAGTTATTGCCTGTTCTCTTGCATTCTGGCACAATCTCTAGGCTCAGTCTGCCTACTAGTCGGACACCAGAGTTGATCCCTCACAAGGCTGGCAGTGAAGGCCCAATCACCTTCACTATGAAGTCATGAGAGTTTCCCACCTCAGTCTGACTGTTGCAGCCACAGAGGAAGGGACGATGCTAGTCACAGCTCAGCTTGGTCGCTCCCGGTTGGAGGGGTAACTTTAGAGCCATGCAAGATGGCTATTTTCCCCAATGGGTGAGCATGCCAACTCATGGTCCAAGGAGAGAGAAAGGGATCAGGAATAGAGAGTGAGCTTCTGACACAACACAGCAAATCCCCTCTGACCTGAAGAGGGGCAGAGAACAGGCTATAAGCTTTTGTCTGTCTCCCTCACAGCATGGCCAGATTTTCATAAGTGCCCTGCACCCAGCAACTCCCATACAGAGAATCCTCTTTCCCCTCCTCCTTCCTTCCCCCCACAGAGAGTAATGGAGAATCCCTTCCCCTCCCCTTACAGGGAGCTGTTGAATGCCAGCAGCTGGCAGTGGAAAGTGCTGCCTTCAGATGGAGCAGTGGATCATGGCAAGCACAGAGAGCTGCAACCCCAGACACCTCCCGCAACTGCTGGCCCCAAACTCCAGAGTGCTCCTTGCCCTTGCATCCGCAGGGGAGAAGGTCTCATTGCTCTGTACCTGCACTAGGATACCCTGGGAGTGGTATTCGGCCTCCAAGCCTCTCGAGAAGAAATCTACAAATCTCTGCAATGGAGAGAAAATGGAAATCAAGCCACAGGACTGCAATGGAGCAGGAGAGGGGAAAGGGTAGCGTGGCGGGGGGAGGGGGACACGTCACAATGAACGCTCACAAGGGAGATAAGAAACTTCAAGAGCAGATCCTGAAAGGACGGGTGGCTGGGACAAGGCCCGTTGCTCTGGCTCTCATGGGGAGCTGGTGTGAGACAGCGCTGGGTGCCCTTAGTAGGGCAAGCACACAGCTGTAACAGAAGAGCTGCTTTGTAGCTTATGGAGACCAAGGGAGGGTGTTTTCCAACCCCACCCCCTATACCTAGACAGGATTTTCAGGTGCAAGGAAGAAGAACACATTTGTTTGTCTAAGCGATTGGCTGAACAAGAAGTAGGACTCAGTGGACTTGCAGGCCATAAAATTTTACATTTTCATTTTTGAGTGCTGTTTTTTTGGTGCATAATTCTACATTTGTAAGTTCAACTTTCATGATAAAGTGATTGCACTACAGTACTTGTATTAGGTGAACTGAAAAAATACCATTTCTTTTGTTTTTTTACAGTGCAAACACTGGTAATCAAAAATAACTATAAAGTGAGCACTGTACCCTTTGTTTTCTGTGTTGTAATTGAAATCAGTATATTTGAAAATGTAGAAAACATCCATACCTATTTAAATAAATGGTATTCTATTACTGTTTGACAGTGCGATTAATCACGATTAATTTTTTTAATCACTTGACAGCTCTAGCAGCCAAACAATCAGGTTGACACTGATAGTTGCTGGTGCCAAGATGGGGAGCACGGTACTGGCGAGGATGGCGGAGGAGATTCTCTGACATCAGAGTTCTGGTGTAAGAAAAGCGATGGTGCCAGGAGGACGTACACAGGAGGACTACATAACTCTTGGTCCCTGGCAGTGTCAGTCAGTACTAGGGCTAGCAATTCTCCTACTAATACATCCCAATATGCCGTTGACCTTCTTGGCAACGAGGGCACACTGCTGACTCATATCCAGCTTCTCATCCACTGTAATCCCAGGTCCTTTTCTGCAGAACTGCCGCTTAGCCAGTCGGACCCCAGCCTGTAGCCGTGCATGGGATTCTTCCGTCCTAAGTGCAGGGCTCTGCACTTGTCCTTGTTGAACCTCATCAGATTTCTTTTGGCCCAATCCTCCAATTTGTCTAGGTCCCTCTGTATCCTATCCCTACCCTCCAGCATATCTACCTCTCCCCCCAGCCTAGTGTCATCTGCGAACTTGTTGAGGGTGCTATTAATCCCATCATCCAGATCATTGATGAAGATGTTGAACAAAACCGGCCCCAGGACCGACCCCTGGGACACTCCGCTTGATACCGGCTGCCAACTAGACATTGAGCCATTGATCACTACCCGTTGAGCTGATGGAGCTCGGCTGTTCTCTGTGGTGGCAGATGACAGAACAAGGAGCAATGTTCTCAAGTTGCAGTGGGGGAGGTCTAGGATGGATATTAGGATAAACTATTTCACTGGGAGGGGGGTGAAGCACTGGAATGGGTGACCTAGGGAGGCGGTGGAATGTGCATCCTGAGAAGTTTTTAAGGATGATTTAGTCCGTGCTCGTGCTGCTTCGAGCAGGGGGTTGGACTAGATGACCTCCTGAGGTCTTTTCCAACCTAATCTTCTATGATTCTATGGGAGAGGAAAGAGTGCTAGGAACAGGGGGCACAGGATGTAACTTTCCTTACCTTCGTAGCACTGTACACTGTGGCCACTGGATGGGGGTGACGACCCGCTTCAGAGGACAAGTTAATGACGACCCCCTTCTTCCTGCCATGAAGAGAGATAGCTCCGTGTGAGGATGGCCCCAGAGAGCACCCAGGAAAAAGGAGAGAGGTGTGCTCATTGCCCAGGCCCAGCCCATGCCCCTGGGGGGGGCGGGAGGGGAGAACCCATCACCCCATTACAAAGTGGGGGCACAGGATTCTATGCTGGAGTTTGCAGCCAGACTCCGCCTACCTGTTTGGCGGGGAGAAGAGAGTTCCTTTTGAACTGAGGGAGAGGAGAATGTGGATGGGCTGACTAGGGCTGGAATGATCGTCTAGAGCTCAGGAGCAGGGGAGAGGTTGCCCAGGCCCTGCCCACCATCCAGGCTGAGGGGACAGGGAGGAGAAGGGAGAACCCATCACTTGGAGCAGGGGAGAGGGAGAGGAAGAGGGAGAGCTCATGGCCCAGGAAGGCTCCTGATCAGTGCGGGACAGGTGCAGCTAAAGGCAGATGCCACCCCGAGGCACAAAGGGGGCACCACGCTGCAGCCACTGTCAAGTAGGCCCAGTTCACTGTGGCTCGACAGCGGGGAAGCCATGTGCTTTCCTGCTGCTTGTACCTGCTGAGCATCTGGGGCAGGACAATCCTGGTCATCTGCAACAAGAGACGTCGGTGAGACATGAGACAGGACGTGCCGCACAGCCTGCCAGCAATGCCCTGTCCATGACAGAGGCCATCATCAGCTCCTGCCCTCCCTTAGCAGCCATGCCCTGCAATGGCAGAATCTGCCTCCCATCCCCCAGATTGTCCTCCCTTCACCAGCCACATGTGACAACCCTCATCCCGCCTGCCCTGCCGCTGCCAGCTACGCCCCGCAGTGGCAGGGCCTGTCCTCCCCTCATCAGCCAGAGACCACAGAGGCAGAGACAGTCCTCACCCCTGCCCTCCCCTCACCAGCCACACGCCCCTGACATGTCCAGCCTCATGCTCCCAAATCATCCCCTCGGCACCCTCTTTACCTCAGCAATAGGTGCTGTCCCTATGTCCCCGTCCCTCTCCCATTAGCACTCCCACTGCCCATTCTCACACTCCTCTTTCCTTTCACCCTCCAGCCCTTCTCTACCCAACACTGGAACTGCTCTCTCTCCCCTTGTAAGGATAAGGCCTTTGTCTGCAGCCACATTGTAAGGCCTAAAGCCTAAGGCCTTTGTCTGCAGCCAGATTAAAAGGGCAGCCGAACAGCAGCCATTAGCTGAGAAGCAGGAAGTTGCATCCTCACGTTCCATCTAAATTATTAAAACAATGTAATGTAATATCAGGCTGTTAATAAGGAGACCCCATCCTAATGGCCCCCACTATCACCAGATAAAGAAACAGTTTAAAATGGTTAAAGAAAACTTAGTTTGACAGCATCCTGTCTGGCAAGCAATCACTTATCAATAGTTGTGGTTGGGAAATCCTCATTTCTTTGTTGTTTTGTCACTATGGTCCCCACTTCCCTATTGTTTGTCTGTATGGTCTCTGTCTGGTTCTTTGATTGTTTCTGTCTATTGCATAATTAATTTTGCTAGGTGTAAATGAATTAAGGTGGTGGGGTAGGACTGGTTAGAGAATTTTGTTACACTATGTTAGGATTGGTTAGTAAAATTTTAGTATAATGATTGGTTAAGGTATAGCTAAAAAGGACTCAAATTTCACTATATGAACTGGGGTCCAAAAGGAAGTTCTTGGGGAACCAACTCCAGGACACAGCCCCAAAGATCAGAGCTCCCAGACCTCAACACTATACCAATGACACTATGCAGAAACTAGAGTCCCCCAGACGGACCTTGTCAAGGTTCGTTCCCCACTCTGAACTCTAGGGTACAGATGGGGGGGACCTGCATGAAAACCTCCTAAGCTTACTTTTACCAGCTTAGGTTAAAACTTCCCCAAGGTACAATATTATTTTACCCTTTGCCCTTGGACTTCCACGGCCACCACCAAACATTTATCTGGGTTATTTTATTAGGAAAGCGTTGTTTGGAAACGTCTTTCCCCCCAAAATCCTCCCAACCCTTGCATCCCACTTCCTGGGGAAGGTTTGATAAAAATCCTCACCAATTTGCATAGGTGACCACAGACCCAAACTCTTGGATCTTAAGAACAATGAAAAAAAGCATTCAGTTATTGAAAAGAAGAATTTAAATAGAAGTAACAATAAAAAGAAGCACCTCTGTAAGATCAGGATGGTAAATACCTTACAGGGTAATTAGATTCAAAACATAGAAAATCCCTCTAGGCAAAACCTTAAGTTACAAAAAGACACACAGACAGGAATATCCATTCTATTCAGCACAGCTTATTTTCTCAGCCATGTAAAGAAATCATAATCTAACGCATATCTAGCTAGATTACTTACTAAGTTCTAAGACTCCATTCCTGTTTTGTCCCCAGCAAAAGCATCACCCAGACAGACACAGATCCTTTGTTTTTCTCCCTCCTGCCAGGTTTTGAAAGTATCTTGTCTCCTCATTGGTCATTTTGGTCAGGTGCCAGCGAGGTTATCCTAGCTTCTTAACCCTTTACAGGTGAAAGGATTTTTCTTCTGGCCAGGAGGGATTTTAAAGGTGTTTACCCTTCCCTTTATATTTATGACAGACCTGATCCTGACTGACCATCAAGAAAAGTTCATGTGTCTTACTGGGAGTGGTGAGCACTGTATGTGTAGCGTGTGCAGTCTGTTTTTGGTGATTGTTAATAAATAGAGGATAAGGATATTACTGTGTAAGGCTCTATCACTGGTAAAAGTTCCTGCAAACCCACAGGGTTATGCCTGAGCCCTAGGAACTGGGAAAAGGTGGGTGCCCCTAGAGTGTGTGAGTAACAGAGAATTTTGTATGGGTAACCCCCTGCGGTTTCCCAGGAGTTTATCGGTTCCTCATGTCATGCCCCATGTAAAAGAAACAGGAGAAAGCCACCGAAGCTGCCTAGGGATGCCAGCTCTATTTCACTTACCTTTGCCACTGAGAGCATGTTGCAATTCACAATATCCGACAGAGTCTAAAGAGAGAGGGAGTGAAAGGAAAAGACATAATGACCTCTCCTTCCCCATTGTCACGGACAGCACTGAGAATGCCACCCCTCATGGATGGGTTAGCGCACACATCTCAGTCAATATACATGCTCGTGGTTATTGTGGTGGGTAGCACTCAGAGCCCCAGCCACTATACCGACACATCGAGACAGCCCCTGTCCCACAGAGCTCACCCTCTAAAGAGAGAAAGAGACAGCAGCAGGTTTAACACAGCTTAGGCGGGAAAAGGGGAAGGGTGATCAGATCCGACAATTACTTAGGTAGTTAGGTATTTTGGCACCTGAAGACGCAGATAAGCACCTAGGGGCATTTTCAAAAGCCGTCTCCCACTGTTCTCAAGGAGATTGAAGCCAGGCCCACAGACAAAATTGCTGCCACTCTATGGCCCAGGGAGCTAGACAGGGCACTGTTGAGGGATGGGGAGAATGAGGAAGAGCAGGGCACTGACGGGAGCAGGAGGCAGATTTAGTTGGTTGGGGCGCAAGAGGATGTGGAGGCAGGCGAAAGGCTGAAGGGGGTACAGAGGACAGTGATGGGAGATGGAGGGAATCAAATGGCAGTGGTGCAGTAGGGAGAGGATTCCCCGCCAAGCATCCAGGGGAAGGCCAGTGTTGCCTATTCTCACAAACCAATTGAAAGTCACAGGATTTTGTGTCTGCAGGAGAAGCTGTCGTGAAGATGCAAGAAGCTCCTCCAGTCCCATAAAAAACACATGAGGAGTACTTGTGGCACCTTAGAGACTAACAATGAAACCTGTCTCCAGTCCCATAGAGTTTTCAGGGCTGGGCAGAGCTGTGGGTGACAGCCTTAGTGGGGAGCACACAGACCTGCCCTGCTACTTAGCCCTGCCTTCACATATGGTCTGAGAGCACAGAGAGGATCCGGGGCGGGTAGTACAGGGCCCTGCCTCCCACTGCCTTGAGACTTCTCTACTTGGGAGCCAACTCCAGGACACTTCTACTTGGGAGAGGAGAAGCCCTCAGGGGGCAACGAGGCAGTGGAGAGGGTAGTTGGGGAGGTGGTGCTGCCGGGTCCAGGGAAGGAGACAACCCCCAGGTCAGTGAGCCAAGGGTGGGGGGGAGTCAAGATCTAATAAGAAAGGGCTGGCAGTTCGCCTGTCTCAGAGGTGGGGAGAGCATGAGTGCAGCTCCATCTGAGGAGCCAAGGAGAGGGATGCACTTCTGTGTGCAGTCAAGTCAACTGAAATTCTCACACACACACGGGCAGAATAGCAGAGGAAGTTATGAAGTCAAAGTGCACACTAAAAAACTATGGTTTGATGAGGTCTTTAAATTCTCATGATTTGCATGCCCTATCCTCATGACCATTGGTCTCTTCAGATTGGCAGTTCTGCAGAAGCGCCAGAGACTCCATGAAATCCACTAGGGACTTTGCTATTGCTTTTAAGTGGAAGACACTCAGATACTATGGTGATGGACAGCAGTACAAAACCCTAAGAGAGACATAGGGCTTAAATTCAGCTGGAGCTGTCTGGAGGGAAGCTCTGGTAAATATTTTTTAAACCTGCAGAAGCCCTGGTGTCCCCCCTCCCCCGAAGCCCAGAGCCCCTGCAGCCCCCCAAGTCCTGAGACCCCCATCCTGTCGCTGAAGCCCAGAGCCCCAAAGTGGGGGGGGGGGGGAGATGCGTGGGAAACTCTGGGAAATAATCTCTGAGAGTTTAAGCTCTGGAGAGACAGATAGGTGATTGCCCGTGGGGACTATATAAGCAGTGCTCTATGTACTTCCTGTGTGAGGCCAAGAACCAGGGTAGATCTGAGGTGGGTCTCTCTGTACAGAGTGGCAAAAGGACAGTCGCTAAGGGTGTGGAGTGGGACCAGCACGGACAGTGTGAGCCACGGTAAGGGTCCAAAGGGACTCACCTTGATACAGAGGTGAAGGGATAAAGAGATTTTATTGTCAAATAACATGAAAGCCACAAGGGGACTCTGTGGTGAAATTCAGTATTGCCTTTGAGACTTTGTTACACTGGGCTCCAAAGATGATGTGAAATAGAGGCTGAGCAGCATGCCCCAGGGAGACATGCCCTATGTTTACCTGTCACCTAATTCTTCACATAAGAAAAGCCCAGTCACAATAACTCTGCCCATTCCCTGGGCACTCTCTTTCCCCTGCACTGAGATCCACCTGAGCCAGGCAAGTGGGAAGAGGAAGGTGTCAGGGAGTGGGTGACAGCTCCCCCAATTCCGTAGGCCAGTCTTTTAACTCAACTCGCTTAACATGTTTTCAAAGTCGACATTCCCTTGGCTGTACTAAACTTTTAGCACATTTGTGAACAACACACTTCTACATCCTCGCTAGATATGAAACTGCAGAAAAACCTGAGTGCCTCTGGATTAAGTTCAGAAGTGAGAACAACAAGGGTGATGTCGTGGTGGGAGTCTGCTATAGACCACTGGACCAGGGGGATGAGGTGGACGAGGCTTTCTTCCAGCAACTCACGGAAGTTACTAGATCGCAGGCCCTGATTCTCGTGGGAGACTTCAATCACCCTGATATCTGCTGGGAGAGCAATACAGCGGTGCACTGACAATCCAGGAAGTTTTTGGAAAGTGTAGGGGACAACTTCATGGTGCAAGTGCTGGAGGAACCAAGTAGGGGCAGAGCTCTTCTTGACCTGCTGCTCACAAACTGGGAAGAATTAGTAGGGGAAGCTAAAGTGGATGGGTACCTGGGAGGCAGTGACCATGAGATGGTCAAGTTCAGGATCCTGACACAAGGAAGAAAGGAGAGCAGCAGAATACGGACCCTGGACTTCAGAAAAGCAGACTTTGACTCCCTCAGAGAACTGATGGGCAGGATCCCCTGGGAGAATAACATGAGGGGGAAAGGAGTCCAGGAGAGCTGGCTGTATTTTAAAGAATCCTTATTGAGGTTACAGAGACAAACCATCCCGATGTGCAGAAAGAACAGTAAATATGGCAGGCGACCAGCTTGGCTTCACAGTGAAATCCTTGCTGATCTTAAACACAAAAAAAAAAGCTTACAAGAAGTGGAAGATTGGACAAATGACCAGGGAAGAGTATAAAAATATTGCTCGGGCATGCAGGAGTGAAATCAGGAAGGCCAAATCACACCTGGAGGTGCAGCTAGCAAGAGATGTTATAAGTAACAAGAACGGTTTCTTCAGGTATGTTAGCAACAAGAAGAAAGTCAAGGAAAGTGTGGGCCCCTTACTGAATGAGGGCGGCAACCGAGTGACAGAGGATGTGGAAAAAGCTAATGTACTCAATGCTTTTTTTGCCTCTGTCTTCACGTATAAGGTCAGCTCCCAGACTACTGCACTGGGCAGCACAGCACGGGGAGGAGGTGACCAGCCCTCTGTGGAGAAAGAAGTGGTTTGGGACTATTTAGAAAAGCTAGACGAGCACAAGTCCATGGGGCTGGATGCACTGCATCCGAGAGTGCTAAAGGAGTTGGCGGATGTGATTGCAGAGCCATTGGCCATTCTCTTTGAAAAGTCATGGCGATCCGGGAAAGTCCCGGACGACTGGAAAAAGGCTCATGTATTGCCCATCTTTAAAAAAGGGAAGAAGGAGGATCCTGGGAACTACAGGCCAGTCAGTCTCACCTCAGTCCCTGGAAAAATCATGGAGCAGGTCCTCAAGGAATCAATTCTGAAGCACTTAGAGGAGAGGAAAGTGATCAGGAACAGTCAGCATGGATTCACCAAGGGCAAGTCATGCCTGACTAATCTAATTGCCTTCTATGACAAGATAACTGGCTCTATGGATGAGGGGAAAGCGGTGGACGTGTTGTTCCTTGACTTTAGCAAAGCTTTTGACACGGTCTCCCACAGTATTCTTGCCAGCAAGTTAAAGAAGTATGGGCTGGATGAATGGACTATAAGGTAGATAGAAAGTTGGCTAGATTGTCGGGCTCAACGGGTAGTGATCAATGGCTCCATGTCTAGTTAGCAGCTGGTATCAAGTGGAGTGCCCCAAGGGTCAGTCCTGGGGCCGGTTTTGTTCAATATCTTCATAAATGATCTGGAGGATGGTGTGGATTGCACCCTCAGCAAGTTTGCAGATGACACTAAACTGGGAGGAGTGGTAGATATGCTGGAGGGTAGGGATAGGATACAGAGGGACCTAGACAAATTAGAGGATTGGGCCAAAAGAAATCTGATGAGGTTCAACAAGGACAAGTGCAGAGTCCTGCACTTAGGATGGAAGAATCCCATGCACCGCTACAGACTAGGGACAGAATGGCTTGGCAGCAGTTCTGCAGAAAAGGACCTAGGGGTTACAGTGGATGACAAGCTGGATATGAGTCAACAGTGTGCCGTTGTTACCAAGAAGGCCAATGGCATTTTGGGATGTATATGTAGGGGCATTGCCACCAGATCAAGGGACGTGATCGTTCCCCTCTATTCGACATTGGTGAGGCCTCATCTGGAGTACTGTGTCCAGTTTTGGGCCCCACACTACAAGAAGGATGTGGAAAAATTGGAAAGAGTCCAGCGGAGGGCAACAAAAATGATTAGGGGACTGGAACATATGACTTATGAGGAGAGGCTGAGGGAATTGGGATTGTTTAGTCTGTGGAAGAGAAGAATGAGAGGGGATTTGATAGCTGCTTTCAACTACCTGAAAGGGGGTTCCAAAGAGGATGGTTCTAGACTGTTCTCAGTGGTAGCAGATGACAGAACAAGGAGTAATGTTCTCAAGTTGCAGTGGGGGAGATTTAGTTTGGATATTAGGAAAAACTTTTTCACTAGGAGGGTGGTGAAACACTGGAATGCGTTACCTAGGGAGGTGGTGGAATCTCCTTCCTTCGATATTTTTAAGGTCAAGCTTGACAAAGGATGGGATGATTTAGTTGGGGATTGGTCCTGCTTTGAGCAGCGGGTTGGACTAGATGACCTCCTGAGGTCCCTTCCAACCTTGATATTCTATGATTCTATGATTGCTCTAAAAAAACATCGGTACCACTTAGCACAGACCCAGCTTTACTCCCTGGTTCCCAGGGAGACCAGATCATCGGCAAGACAGGAAACCAGCCTAGCAAGAATTTTTGAACAAGACAAACCTTCTCAATGTTGGGGATATCCAGGAAATTCACTGGCTCTGCTGCATAGGTCATGCCAACGTTGTTCACTGTTAAAAGAACAACGCATCAGGCCCAGCTGTTCTGAATTATGAGCATCATGTAGTAGAAACACTTGGCACTTTAGAAACAATACAAGTCTGTTGCTAGGACCCAAAGAACCAGGTTCAGACAGGCCCAAGCAGGGAGGTCTGGATCCAACTATTCCCAAAAATGGGGGGGCATGTTTGGGATCTTTGCTATAGTGTACATCTGCACTTGGAGCTGGGGGTATAATTCCCAGCACTAGCTCTGATTGAGCTACCATGCTAAAAATAGGGTGTAGCCACGGTGGTAGAAGCTAGCCGCCCTACAAAACCATACACCACACAAAACCATAGGTGTTAGGGTAGCTTGCCCCTCCCACCGCTCACACTACCACAGCTACACACTATCTTCAGCGCACTAGCTCAGAGCCAGCATGGGCATAGCTCCTCGAGCTGAGACTTACACCTCCAGTTCGAAGCACAGACATCCCCTCAGAGAGTAAAGGGCGTGAGGAGAAGCAGCCACCAGTGGCGTCCATTTGGATTTTAGTGCATGTGATGGGGGAGACAGAAGACGCTGGAGACTGAAGGAAATGCAAGTGGGAGTGGATGAAGAAGACAGCCTACTGCAGCAAGCACGTGGCTCTAGACTAGTTAGGGGTGCCTGCCTGGAGTGTAGCTAGAAGACACTGTTAGGTGCACGTGTGTCCAAGGCAGCCTCCAGTCCCAGAAGACACTACAGGAAAATTTGTTCATCTGTTAGGTTTACATCAGACCCATTAGCTCAATGGAAATCAAGTGTTTGGCCAGGTTATTTCTGAGCCCAACTTGGGCGCAGTCCACTGGGAACTGCACAGACACTGGAATGGAGAGCATGACATCTGCCATCTCCCTGGGAAAGCTCCAGCCACAGGCCCACTGCTTCTGGCCAAGGTATGTTTCAGGCCAGGGCAGCTGCAAAGACAAACAGAACAAAACCCAAGAGCCAATTTACCTAGAATGCCAATCTCCAGGCCCTGCAGGGCGGTTTGGATTGAGTCATAGATCTCTGACCCCTGGGTGAAATCAGCTTCAATAACTCTGGTGCTTTGGCCATGCTGCTCTTCTGGAAAGCAAAGTCAGAGCAAGATTAGAACCCTGGGGAGGGGCTGGGGAGAAAACAGAGGAGAAGGCAGGGCTGGGGAGCGGGTGGGCTCTGAGTTCAGGGTGACAGAGCCTCTGGGCAGAGAGGAAATGGGGGGGGGGGGGGTGTGGATCTAGGCTAGCTGCAACAGGTCCCTGAGAGAGGGAAAGGGAGGGAGCCTGGGCTTGCACCAATTGAGCTGCGGCGGGAGCATAAGGCCTGGTCTAGTGGTAATAGAACCCCTGGGAGTGGTAGGAGGGAAGGCAGCAGGGTCTGGGTTAACGGCACAAGCCAGACCCCACCTTCCACCCCTTCACTCACCCCAAGCTCTAATACTGTGCATTGGTAACAATGCAGCTACACGGTGACACCAAATAAGAGTCCCACTCTAACTGCCTAGGTGCCCAACTCCCCTGGCATCCACACAGGTGTTCGCAGAGACCCCACTCACAAGCAGGAGCCTGCCCAGCCTGTCTTACTCACCTATCTCAGCTGCCACCTGCTTCAGTTTCTGCAGAGAGCGGCTGATCAGCACCACATTGAGGCCTCTCTTGGCGAGCTGGAAAACAATTAAGGTGGGAACTCAGGAGAATCTGGGAAGCCCTAAATCTACTCAGTTTGCCTCACAGCTATTCCTGGGTCAGCTTCACCCTTGTGCCAAGCTGATCCAAAGTAGCACTGGTTATTACCTCGTGGGCATAGGCTCTTCCAATCCCAGATGTAGCTCCAGTCACCACTGCAAGAGGAGAGAGGTACAGGCTGTAAATGCCTCCTTAGGCCAGTAGCTGAGAACCGCTCCCCTGGGGAATTTGCATGCCTTGCACACACTCCCCAGCATGGTTTGGTGCAAGCTCCATGGGGCAGGGAGGGGGACACCCTATCTAGGGTCTGGATCAATGCTAGGCCCCTCAATCCCAGAGCAGGGAGGGAGAGTCCCTCTCTATAGGTTCTGGTGAGACAGCGTCTGGGGTACTTCATGATCACCCCAAAATACTGAGAACCTGGGGGAGTTCCAATCCCTAGGACAACCCTTGCTGAGGTCATTGGCAACACCCCACTGGTTTTAAACGGTAAGTGTCTTTCAACCCTAACGACATAGAGCTGCAGTGACTTTTCACTCTGCTGCCACAAACCGGTGGTACTTCACAGAGTCACCGCCACTGATTTGCCCCTGCCCCAGCTCCTCCACCCATCTGACCTGTGGAGCCCACCGGCCAGAAGGAAGGAGCAGAGCCCAGTTTGGGGAGAATAGGCCCAAGCTCTACTGAGCGACAGCCCAGTGGAGCATTCAGACAGGGCCCAACTAGGCAATCTGGAGCTCTAGCTCACCCCCATGTGAGCCCCCTACAGCCCTATAATCCCAGAACTACAGTCCCATACCTACCTGGGCAGACAGTGTCAGGCCTACCCACCTAATGTTGGTAGGGGGCAGACTGGGACCTCCCCCTTCCTGGCCCACTGCTTCCTGCCTTCTGGCAGGCTAGGTTGCTTCCATGAGGCAGGAACACTCAGCCCCTGTCCACCCCAGCAGAGCACTCCATGTGTGGGTCCCCCCAGTACGAGCCTTCCTTCCCCCAACCCCCCCAGAGAGGATATCAGTGGCGGTGTCCCTCTCCCCCTTGGCAGGGAGCCTAGTGTGGTCTGGTGGGGACTCTCTCTGGTTCTACTGGTCTCCGTTCTCCACCCCACTCACCCACTTTGCACAGTGTTACTGGTGACCCAAGGGGCCATGGAGAATGAGGCTCCACACCTCAGGTTCTGTGTCTAGAGCCCAGCATTCAGAGTACAGCAGACAGCGGGGAGCCCCTGTGCCCTGCTGAGCAGCATGTCTGGCAGCCTGAGGTGCTGGTTCTAGCCCCCTGCCCCTAAGGAATGTTGCTTGGCAAGTTGGCTGCCAGTCTCACTCCCTTCTCAGGGGCTTCCAGGAATGAAGTGAATGAACGACCCGAACATGCCTCATTGGGCCAATGAGATAAAGAGCCTCCCAGGGAGCCTGACCAGGGTGCAGAGGCTCTGTGCCCCTTCCCGATGTGTAGAGACAATCAGAAAGGGATTCCACACAGGTAGACACTCTCCTGCTTGTTATGACACAGGAAATCCAGGTCTAGTCTACATAGTTTCTCTGGGCAACAGAAGAACTATTGATTGGAAGCTCTTGGGGATCAGCTCTGTGTATAGTGCCGAGCGCAATGGGGCTCCAGTCCTTGAAATGGTGGTACCACAAAGCGGACAACAGCAGCAACATACTTCGGAGGCTACAGGCAGGGCCAAGTTCTACAGCACGTCTGCAGTATCACCAGCCCGAGGCCTTCAAAGATCATGAGTAAGGCCCCCCCAAAATAAAGCATTTTATAAAAAAAGCTGGTGATTTATCAGCCATGATGAATTTTGGGTTCTCCCTCACTTTGACTTCTGGTCTCCAGGCTTTAGGCTATTTTTCCAAGCTTTTCTCTGTAACCACAAGGGCTAGGAACTACTTTTGAATTTGAGGGGAGTGGAGATTCTCCTGTGGATTACAGGATTCCAGGAGCTGAGACTCTGAGAAAAACACCCCACATGAGAAGTTTTGGCAACACTGAGGCTAGGGCTACACTAGAAACTTTTGCAGCAAAGAAATGTCGGCTAGGGCTGAGAATTTAGAGTGACCTTGTTATACCAGCAAAAGCCTTACGTTAGATGCAGTTATATCAACATAAATGTGCTTTTCGGCTACAGCTTATTTTGCTGAGGAAGCAAAAACGCTCTTTTTTTTCCAGTTATCAGCTGCAGTAGGAGGGTTTGGCAATACAGCTGTGGGGGAAACCTGAGACCCTGGCTCCCAGTCTGTTGCCTTAAGGTCTAGTAAAGGGCCTGGACCTCGTTTTATAGCCCCCAGAAGGACAAAGAGCTCCGTTAACTGGAGGCTGCAGGAGTCTAGTTTCTGACCTCAGCAAGATGGGAAATGTTTCCTCCGGATATTTTCTACCCCATGCCCCGGACACTGGCCTCTCCACTGGGCCAGCATCCCCCAGGCCGTTTGGCTGGGTCATGGAGCCCCCTGACCTTGGCCATCCCCCCAGCCCGCTGGGGCTTCCAGCTGGTTCGTGTGCCTGGTGGCATCGGTCCTGGGGTTCAACAAGAACTGACGGGGCACCCGTTTGCCTCATGCCTGAAGCCCTGCGAGCAGGAACCTGCCCCTGCCCGGCCAGCAGCAATCAGCACCTCCTCCAGCTCCAGAGCTGGGAAACTCAAGGCCAGGCTACATGAGAAGCTAATAGCCCAGCTGGTGAAGATGGAGAGAGCTCTCCCCCCGGCATATTAAAACCACCTCCCGCGGCCCAGCTCTGGCCACACAGGCGCTGGGGTCGGGGTAACGTAGCTCGCCCAGGGGGCGGCGTCTTCAAATTATGTCGCCATAAAGGCCAGTGTGTACAAGCCCCCTCAGTCCCACCCCTACCCCAGGCAGCCCCCGGGGGGGGGGGGGGAAGCCATCAGCACAGCCCAGCCCTGCCTCCCTGCCAAGCCCCCGGGCGGGGGGGGAACGGCCAGCGCAGCCGCCCCCTCTCCGAGCCGTCACTGGGGGGGCGGGCCGGCCAGACCCTCCCCAGGCCCCGCGGGCCGAGCTCACCCGCCCAGGCTCCGAAGCTGGCGAGCTCCGCGCCCCTCCCGCGCGCCGCCAGCAGGTGGGTCCACACCGCTTGGCCCAGCGCCCAGGCGGCCCGCAGCAGCAGCCCGAGCGCGACCAGGGCGCCCAGCGCGGGCAGCCCCTCGGCCAGCAGCCCCGCAGCGCCGCCGTCCATCGTCCCGCGGCTGCTACGGGAGCAAGCGCGCTCCGGGCTCCCCGCCCAGCCGCCTCGGCTCCCGGGCCATTGGCTAAGCCGTCCCCGGGGCGGGCCGCGGCCGCTCCCTGCAGCTTCCAGCCCTGCCGCTGCAGCCCCTGGCTATAAGGAGTTTCTCTCCTATCCAGGCGTTACAGTTTGTTCCTGGGCCCTGCCTCCCGCGGGGGGGCGGGGCAAGTGCACCAAACAAATCGGCCTCACTGATCCTGGAGACACAGATGCCTCCCTCAGCCCCTTTGGGAAGGTCTGTGAGGGGAACTAAAATCTCCCCTGCACCCTGGCGGTGTAGTCTGGCTCCCTTAACTGGGGGCCCGCGCACCTGCGGTTCGCAGCCCCCTGGATGGGACGGATTGGTGCTGGGAACAGGTCAAAAGAGACTGGTTCCTCGTGTTAGCTGAGGCCCAGAAGAAAGGGTGTCCTGGTGTGCAAACTAAGGGAGGGGCGAGGTAGATGGGAGGTTGGCACCATGGTGGAGAAGTTGTCGCACAAGTGGTGAAACGGGCCAGTGTCACTATCCTGAATCTTTGTATGACCTGATGGGTTTAGACTCAGAGCAATTCTGTGGAATAGGTTTCCTGAGCGTAAACCGTGGTCAGTGGAGCGAGCATGTAAGGATTCACGTACACCGGCCTTCAGCTTGTGGACAGTGGGTCCGGCTATGAACAGAGACTCAAGGCGACTGGTCCAAGCTTAGGTCCTGGGAAGGAAAATTAGTGGAGGCTCTGGAGCAGTGAGATTTGGGTAAACCCAAAGTGAGTGGGGTGGAAGGCAGCCAGTCCTGGTAGACCCCCACCAAGGGAGCCCAAAGACCTGAGATGCAACATTTGTAGGCATAAATGAGTGTACTACCCAAGGGTGGAGGACTTGGAGTTTGTCTGGGACTGAGGGGCTCACCCATCACCTGCCCAGCCTGGAAAGCAGCCTGTAGCTCACTCAAAGAGTGAACTGCGTGATTGAATTTTCAAAGGAAAATGATCACACGGTCAGCTCCTCTGGGGCACAGCGTGCCCTAGCACAGTGGTTCCCAAACTTTAACAACCCACAAACCCCTTTCACTAAAATGTGAAGTCTCATGAACCCCTTCCTAAAAATGAATATTCCCAGGGATTTTCTCCCCCATACTTCAGCATAAATTATAAAAGCAGTGATCTTGGAAATATAAAATGTGTTTTTATGAGATGCTTATTACACACTATTTATTAATTATTATTTATCATGACAGTATTTTTATTACATTATGAAAACAGCCAAGATCTTCCAAGACCTCACTTTTGTAGCTTGTATCACTTTTGATTAAGCCTGTTATAAGACAAGGCTCCTATCAGAGGCGCCAGTAGAAAAAAAAGGGTGCGGGGCGAAGCCCCTGCACCCTGGGGCCTGGGGGGGGCACCGCTGGAAAACTGGGGGGGGGCATGGGGACTGCCAGAAAAAAAGGGGGAGGGACCCCGGGGGGGCATGCCGATGCAGGGGCGACACGCGACCCTCGTCGCCCCCCCGTACTGGCGCCTCTGGCTCCTATGTGTCATCAGGGAGTATAAGATGTGAAACAGCAGGAAGGGATTTAAGAAGCCAACTCAAAGGGTTCCTCCAACACAAGCATTCAGGTCTTGAGCAGTCCAGGCAAACAACGCACATTACAACAAAGCTCAAACTTGTTCTTCATAATAATTTAAAAACAATACTAGCTGCCTATTTCATTTTAAAAACAGCAAAAAATATCCACCTCCTTTTCTATTTCATATAAGGAGTCTTGAAGTTTAAATCTCAGTGTGATAGAGATGCTTGCTTTGATCTGCTTAGCTCTTGGAAGTCCAGGGGCTCCGGGCTGCTGGCCCCGGGCTGCCCAGGGTCCCTAGGGACAGTTCTGTCCGCCATTAGGAAATTTTTCCCCGAGAACCCCCTGTAACCCCAGGCACTGATGTACATGTCCCATTGTAATTTCATGGGCTCAGACTCATCTGATCCACAGTGGGAGCTGTCTGGAGTGACTCACAACTGTGAGTGCCTATGTCAGGGCAGACTGTCAGAAAATAGAGCAGACACCTTGCTAGCCAGCCTTACCATGGAGTCACAGACAGTCCCCTTAGAATCTCCAGTCTATCTTGCTACCCAGACAAACTGGACTTTGTGATAAAAGGTCACTTAAACCAAAAATCACACCACATTAGGTTGCTCCAAGTCCCAAGAGACCAGTCACTTATCCCAGGTCAATTAGTACTCTAGATCTTATACCAAAGACAATGCTGGTAGCCAATTCTAAAGTTAATTAACTAAAGGTTTATTAGCTAAGACAAGGAAGTGAGTTACTGACAGATGAAAACAGGTAAAATATATGTCCAGGTGACTCACAGTTTGTAATTACAAGTGGTGGCAGTGATGTAATAAACTGTCAGTTTCCCAAAAGTCTTTTCAGGCTTCCCAGATTGTCTCTGGGGATCTCCGCTTTGCATCTGGTACACTTCCCTGTAAGAGTTCAAACAGGGTAGAGGTGAAGGATTTTCCCCTGAATCCATACTTGTAGCTTCTTCTCACAGAAAACAAGCTGACAAGGTCATTACCCACATGAGCTTTTCCTTTGATTGTTGGATCATATTAAAGAAGTTCTGTATTAAAATCACAAATGAGTTTGATTCCCCAGAGTTTAAATTCCAGGGTATTACTAATTAAGAGGTCTCTTGGTTTTTGGTGCTGTTTCTCTTCCTCTATGTGTGAAACTTGCAAGCTGCTAATTGTGTTAGTACATTCTAAGACTGAGTCTATTCTCAAAGCAATTCACAGAGAGAGAGACTCAAAGCAATACTCTAACAACAGAAACAGCACCCAGAGACTCCCCACCCTTTTGTTGTATTAACAATTGTGATTAAAATAGAGATAGAGGATGTATGTGGATGGATGCTTGGTGTGGATAATAACTGAATGATCAGGGAGGTGCCAGCCTAAGAATCCAGTGTCCATCGGCTGAAGAAGGCGTCAAGTGGAAATAACCAGAGGACCCCCCCGGAGGGCAGACTGGAATCCACCCAACAGCCTCAAGAATGGGAGAACCAAAGAACAAGATAACATCTTGGAGCCGTCAGGAATGTGCTATCTGCTGATTGATTCAGCAACAGCATGATGAAGCAATTCCCATAGACTGGCATAGGAAGAAATTCCTATAAAAATAGACTCTAAAAAGTGAGAACTTTGGGGTCTGATTCTGCAAACCAACTTCCAGGAGCATCAGATGAGCATCTGACAAGGCCCTGCTCCCTCCTCATGTCCAGGCCACCTGGCCAGTGGCTTGGCATGAGCAACTCTAAGGCTGGTAACTATGATAACAACCTTGCAGAACCTGTGTGTGTGTGTGTGTGTGTATGTTTGTATGAATGAATGAATGTGAGAATAAATTTGAGATTGAATGGAATGTTATAACTATAACTAACTGCTTACTATGATTCTTTCTGTATTCACAGTAAATGTGGTATTTTGCCTTTTTCCCTTTAATAAGATCCTGCTGGTTTTTATTTTATTGGTACAACATGATGACAGAGTGAGGAATGCATTTAGAGTCTTAGACATCAAATCATCACATACAATGACCACTCACTTTGAAATTAGGTCTTTTCTCTTAGAGTTTTTCATTTACATTCTACAAGCCTTCTTTCTCCTTTGATGGGTTATTTAGTTACAAGCGTATACACAATGTAAATGTTTGCTACGACATTATATCAGGATAGAGATACATGAAAACTTGCAGACCAATAATATTATGGTAAAATGCCCATAGCAACATTATATGTAAAATTATAAACATAAGCTGAAATCATGACTGACCTATGTTTCCTAAACAGTTCCTCTGAGACAAAGGGCAAGCTGATGCCTCAGCCTTTACCTGCTAAGTAGCCTTTCTTTGGCAGGGACAAAATCCACTTTTTAGGAAGATACAAATGGAGTTTCCTTTTTTCATCAGACTGCCTGTTGCCTTGCTCCCAGCTGGAAATGCTTCTCAAAGGGGGGACAGGACTATAAAAGAATGGGCAGACACCCCTCTCTCTCCCTGTCCATCATATGGGTGGGGTCCTGACCTGAAGAGTTTGGTCAGTAATCTTGCTGGAAGCATGTGGTGAGAAATTTGCTGGAATATAATATAGTTTAAGTAAGGCACTAGTAAACATTTTGTCTTTATTTTTCTTGTAATCATTTCTGACTTTTATGCCTCATTATTTATTCTTACTAAAAATCTGTTTGTAATTAATAATTTTGTTTTACTGTTTTATCTAATTTGGTATGTTTAAATTGAAGTGTCTGTGTAACTATTTGAGGGATTAAGATGGCATACTATTATCTTAAAGGACTTAATATATTTGTATTGTCTAGGAGAGCGCTGGGCAGTATGGGACCTACATTTCTGGGGGAAGATCTGGGATTGGGGGTGTGTTGAGTTCACCCTGCAGTATAATCAAGGCTGATGAGAGCCAGGGTGTAGCTGGCAGGCTGCAGTTACACACACACACACACACACACAATGAGGGTGTGGCTTGCACCTGTTTGTGCGGGGCCCAGGTGGGAGCTACTTCAGTGAGGCATTGTAACTAAGGCACCCAAGGTTGCAGGGTACGGGTGTCACAGTCCCCTACTAGTCTGGATTGTGCCCTGGTATGTCACAAATCCCCCTGCTGCTTCACATGGGTCAGCCCTAAAAGACCTAGAACTGCTTATTGTAGAAGCTTATATTACCTTTTAAAATCTAAGATGGTAACTCATTTGTGTGTGTTTTTCCAGTTTTAACCTTATAAATAACTCTCATTTCTTTTCATAGTAATAAATCTTTAATTCGTTTATAACAGGATTGGCTACAGGCCTTGTCTTTGGTATGAGATCTGAAGTGCTATTGACCTGGGCTAAGAGACTGGTCCTTTGGGACTTGGAGTAACCTTCATATTGTTGAGGTTTTTTTTATGTAAAGTGACCACCTGAAACATCTATCACAGTGTCAAGCTTCCTGGGTTTCAAGATA